CTGCCAATACAGACTGCGTACGGTCGGTGAGGAAGGAGGAGAACCACCGCATAACGGTGCCTCCCACTCCTAACTCACCGAAACGCCGCAGCATGATACCGTGGTCTACAGTATCAAAAGCCGCTGAGAGGTCCAAAAGAACAAGGACAGAGGAATAACCTCTGTCCCGGGCCCTCCAGAGATCATTAACCAACGCGACGTGACGTATCGTGACTTTTTTGCCATTGCTGGCAATGGGGTGGGCACGGTTTCGCTATGATGCATCCGGCCTGCGGGCTGGCAGTTTGACACCCATGATATAAAGTGTGTGTGTGTTACCTCCAGTTGGAACTAAAGAAGGGAGTACGAATTAGATGCCTTTGGGGAATAGATAGTAAATGGAAAGAGTATATACATATATATATATATATGGAGGTATGATGGGAGTGCTCAGCCAATAATAATTATAGAAGAAAAACAGCAACTGGTGTTGCTCCCAACATCTTCATTTCTGCGGTTGGAGGGCTGGACTGCTCAGCTGTTTGGTCTCGAGTGCTACTGGTTAATGCAAAGTAAGTACTTAGTAGGAACACATCCACTCATGTTTAGTGAATGGTTGACTGTGAAAAGCATGGTGACAATTTTTAAAGAGACCTTAGCAATACTCAGCTATGAGCATCTCTGTGAATAGGTTGGGGTAGAAACACAAGCTGAGATTGTTGTTGATGTACCATTCTGCCCATTGCTCCAGAGAAGTTCTGTCAGAGCTCCTAGATCTCATAGCAAGTCTGGTGTTGGAGTCCACCAAGCTATTAGTGCTGTGGCATTTCAAGTCTCTACATCCCAGGTGCAATATCTAGTGTATCCAGGATTTCTTATATTGGATTTACAAAAGAGGTTTGTTAAAGTTTTGAAGAACTCTATGGCAAGAAAAAAAGAGAAAAATCAACTTCCTTGACATTATTGATGAAAGATAAAGATGATTAGAAATAAAAGGAAGGAATGCAAAGTTAAAATAGACCTTGTATAGGCTTTTGTTGACATCAGGACTGAAATGATGAGGTTTTAAGGATTTGATTATAGATAAGAGATGGGTTATGGCAGGGGCGTCAAACTTGCAACATCACATGACGTGTCGCAACGCATTGCAGCTTTTTTTCCATTGCCGGCAATGGGGTGGGCGCGGTTTCACCATGACGCATCCAGCCCTTGGGCCAGCAGTATGACACCCCTGAGTTATTGGATTTTTTCTCTTTTGACATGTTTTCTTTATTATTTCTTTGCTGCACATATTTTTATTCTTTTTAATTTGTATTACTTTTTACTGTTATAATTGTAAATCTTTAATAAAATTAATATTAACAAACCAGAAGGTGATTAGTAGTATTTAGTGGAAGGGCAGGTGATATTTATCTTGAAGGGAATGGGGATATACCTGCTTTTGAGGTCATCTACTGATCCAGTCATGCTAGACAATTTTAACATGAACTCCAATACAATAACTCACAAATTAGTCAGAATAGCAGAATTGCAAGGGACATTCGAGGCCTTCTAGTCCAACCCTATGTTCAAGCAGGAGACCCTATACCATTTCAGACAAATGGCTGTCCAGTCTCTTTATAAAAAACCTCCATTGATGGAGCACCCACAACTTCTGAAGGCAAGTCGTTCCATTTAATGTTCTCACTGCTAGGAAATTTCTCCTTAGATCTATATTGCTTCTATCCTCTCCCTCCTCTCCTTTCCAACCATTCCTTCATTGTGCCTTCTGGTGCTTTGGAAAATAGGTTGACCCCCTCTGCTTTGTGGCAGCCCCTCAAATGTTGGAATACTGCCACCATGTCATCCCTAATCCTTCTTTTCACTAGACATACCCAATTCCTGAAATTATTCATGATTTAGCCTCCAGTCCCCTAATCATCTTTGTTGCTCTTCTCTGCACTCTGGAGTTTCAACTTCTTTTTTTATATTGTGGTGAACAAACTGGATGCAGTATTCCAAGTGTGGTCTTACCAAGGCCATATAAAGCATTACTAACACTTTATGTGATCTTGATTCTATCCCTGTTAATACAGCCTGGGATTGCATTGGTTTTTTGGCGACTGAGGCACACTGCTAGCTCATATTTAAGGACTCCAAGAGCCCTCTTGCACTTACTGCTATTGAGCCACGTTTCACATAATCTGTTCCTGTACATTTGGTTTTTCTTGCCTAAATGTAAACCTTACTTTTCTCACCATTGAATTTCATTTTGTTAGATAGGGCAGAATTCAAGTCTGTCGAGCTCTTTTGGATCTTGAGCCTATCTTTTGGGATGTTGGCTATTCCTGCCAGTTTGGTATCATGTGCAAATTTGATGAGTTCCCCTTCTATTCCCTTATCTAAATTGTTTATGAAGATATTGAAGACTACAGGGGCTAAGACAGAACCTTGGGGTACCCCACTGCTTCCTTGCCTCCATGTAGATGTAGTTCTAATAAGGACTACACATTGAGTGCAGTTTGTCAGTCAATTACGAATCCATCTGATGGTCCAGTATAGCTGTCCCTCTCTAGTTCCCTCCTCTACCTTTGGATGAAAAGTTGTCAGCTAGGTTGGTCAGGAACTTGTTCGATCTCCCACTTCATGCAGAGTTTTTCTACTAGTTGATGTCAAGATAGTTAAAGTACCCCCCATTACTACTGTGGTGTGCCCTACATATATTTAATTGATTAGCAATTAAATCATCTATTTCTTCTGCTTGGTGGCCTGTAGTATACACCTATGGCAATGTCATTCTTTTTTTATACATATATATTAACCCAGATGCATTCTAGGAGGCTTTCATCCTTGGTCTTATGCATTTCTGTAGAGTTGTAATGACCTCTTACATATAATACAACTCCACCTCCTCTTTTGTTTTGAAGAATTTATATCCTTCCATCAGTAATTTCAGTCATTTCATTCCACCAAGTTTCAATAATGGCAACCATATCATACTTGCCCTTGTGTATTAGTACTTCAAGTTCATCCTGTTTGTTCCCCAAACTTTAAGCGTTAGTGTATAGGCATCTCAGTCTTTTATGGCTGACCCTACATCTCCTAGTTTGTATCTGAGTTTTTCTTCCTTCCCATCCCTCTCTACCTCTTTGTTTGATTGGTTGTCTTGGGGTTTATGCTTGGGATTAGGTCCTAAAGATCCTAAAGATTGGTCATCCTACCCTCTCAATTTTAGTTTAAAGCCCTTCGGATAAGCTGAGCCAGTTGTTTTCAAATATATTCTTCCTGATTCTTGTGAGGTGCAGCCCATTCCTTGCCAGAAGCCCTTCTTGTAGGTAATGCAGACTGTGGTCTAGGATATATATAGTCAATTATATTTAAGCCTTAATATATATTTACAACATATTTCAAATCTCTGCCCTTGTTTTTCTCATCTTTCAATCATATTTAAGATCCCACAAGTACACAACAGATCAACAGGGATGACCACATAATCCTGATTTGATTAATCTTTTTTTTCTACCCCTTCTGAGACAGACTTAATTATCACAACAATCAGAAAAAAATCAATCCTAGTTAAAATCTAACAACTATAATTACACATCCTTATGGAGTTTTTCTCAAGCCCAAGCCCAAGCATTCATGAGGCAGAAGACATCCTGTTCCAGGGAACAATCGGTGGGGATGAGCTTTTTTACTGGACCATTTTGTGAAAGTTGGTTTTATTGCATTGGGAATTTGACTGCGTATTAATACTATGGTATTAATGTTGGTGTATCAGGATTGTTACAAATCATCAGAGCCTTTTAAGTAGGCAGAACACAACATGCTGCATATGCCCAAATAAGAGAACTACTTTAGCTTTAATAACTAATAACTTAAATTTATATAGCCCAAACTCCACAGTGATTCTGGCCAGTTACTGTAAGTCTGTTTGTGTAATATACCAAGAGATTGCCTGGATTCTTACAACTTGCTGAACCACAAACGATCCACTCCAATTTTAGCATAGTCCCAGGCACTTGTAAACTCAGACATTAAACCCGGAATGGCCGAAACGAGAGTGGTTGAATGCCAACTGGCCGGAGCAGAAGGCCTTTCCTTTGCGTTGATCGTAACCCTGCTTGGTTATTCAATTCTATTACTCTCCTACTCCTTTCCTAGTGGTTAAAGTCAAGCAAAAAGCAGACTTGTTTTTCCACCGCAGATATTTTTTGCAATGTCTTCCGAACCCGCTTTGGGAGCCAAGACAGATCTGAGGAAAGGCTGCGCCATGGCTGCAAAGCAAACCAGTGACTGCGTCAGCCCAAGCAATCGCCAAGATCGGAGGCGACCGGCAGCTAAGCCAGGCACCTGGCCCACCGGGGAGCAGCGCCGCGTCCCCCCACCCAGCGAACGCGCGGAAGCCGCTTCCCCGATCCGTACCCGGCCAAGACCACCTGCTGCTGTCCGTCCTTCATAGTAGAAGAGGGCGGGGAACAAAAGGCGGCGCTCAATTAGGGCTTACCGTGCTTGCCATAGTAAGTCTCCTCTTCCTGCGCCATCCCATCCGCCTTCTGGGCTTCCTTGCCCGCGTTCTCTCGTTTTCTCCCCACCCTCCTTCCCAGTCAGCTGCTGAACAACCGCCCAATGAGGCGTCTCGGATCACTTCTCCTTCGGGGGCCGAACTAGCCTAACCTGCAGAAAGTGGGGGAACAGGAGGAGGAAGCGGCGGCGGCAGTTAGCTCTGCCTTTCCAAGGGCCGGCTCGGCCAATGCTCCTTGACTGGCGCTTGCCTGCGCTCGAACAGCCGCCTACAGAAACAGCCTTAGGGTTTCATGAGAGTCCTGGTTTAGTATTCCGCGCCTGTGTTTTATCAAAGAGAGCCTTTCACGCTTGATTTTCTCAACCAAATACAACCCCAAAAATCTCGGTCACTGATAGAAAGTACCCCACTTCTCCCCACCATGGGATGTAGCTTTCAAAACAGAGCAGCAGCTGTGGTGAAGTGGACTTGGATTTCCATCTGTATTTCTGGGCTCCTACCTTCGTTGGAACTTTGTGTTTGTACAACAACCTGAGTCACAAATGCTCAGCCACATTTCAGTTTGAAATCCAATCCACCATCAACCACAAAAGTTAATTGGATGACTGAGTCTACCTCATAGGACTGTTGTGGGGGGAAATAAGCGGAAACATATTTGCTTCCCTGAGCTCCCAAATGAAACGTGCTTATGTGCAGAGTAATGAAACAAAATAATCTTATTTTGTCTTCTCTCGAGATTTGAGATAGAACTGCATTGGCAGAGAAAATATATGAGATCAATGCCTGGTAAGTTTTCATTTCCAGCATCTAACATTACTAATAAGGCTGCATTCCAGTAAGTCTCAACAAGATTTTTGTTCAGCTAAATAAACAGCATCTGATTATGATCAGAATTCTGTTTTATGATATACTATTGACATTTATAGCCTTTAATTTTTCCAAAAAAAATTAAGGTCCTATAAACAGATTCCTAGAATGTATCAATGTCTCTTTTCCATGCTTCATATAATCCCCAAATTGCAGAAGAAGTCTATATATTAAACATTATGATTTAACATGAAGCACAAAAGCAAACACTGTATCTAACCAAACCTGGTAAATCAACTTAAAGAAGGCCATGCAGCATATATAGTCCAAAATCCAGTCAGAATGCTATAAGCATAGGAATGGAATTTTACTATGTAATTTACAATCATGACCATCCATTAGAAGACAAACTCTACCACTACAGTCCCTTTGAAAATTCCAAATTTGTCCTGCTTATAATTTTCTGTTTTTAAGGATGAAAGAATATACAAAACAATCAGCTCCCTTTGACTTGATACTAGTGAGTAGGCAACATTCATTCTACATCTACAAGGATGTAGAAATAGCAGGATCTTGACTGTATAATGATGATCTTAATTTTAAGAGAAATTAAAACTTAATGAAGTCATCTTAAATATCAATCAACTCAGGGCAATAATAGGTTAGATTCCTTAGCAGCAAAAAAGGGGAAAGATCCCAACGTAGGTACCAGATATTAGAGAAATTCAGAAATTCAAGAGAAGTATGAAATATCAGATGGAATACAACTGTTGCTATTTTTTTTTAAAGGGGAGTAGAGATCTAGGTTCTAAAAGAAACCATAAAGGGTGCTAGCATTTCTTAAAAACAATGTTTGAGTTGCCTTGAAAGAGAAGTCTCAGGTAGAACATGATAGCATTTTTCAAATATGTGTGCCAATGTGTTCACAGAAAAAAGTGACAATAAAGGTTATCTTGTATCTCAGAGGAATCGCATTGAAGATGGTCAAGATGTTTCCAATCATTACAATGTACAGAACATGGAATAAAGGATTTAAATTACAGGAGAGCTAATCCTGACTGAATGTTAATAAAAATGTTCTAATAATAAAAAACAACTAGGCCCTAGAACTAACTACTCATAAACAGGGTCAGTTCAAGTAGAAGCTGCATAACCATCTGTTAGGACTGCTCTAATATGGATTCCTCAACAGAACAGAAGATTCAATAATTCTATTAAACATTTCATGGTTGAGAAAAGGAGAATAAAAACAGAAACTAGAAGATGTATTTATATGATATAGTCATTCTCATATTGTTACACTAAACATGGTTTATTTAACTCCATTTGCTGGGCTCACATAACATACTGAATCATATATGAAACAGGATCAGAGGTCACACAACATACTAGGCTAAAGTGTGGTTCATTATGATAGACAAACTCAGGGTGCTAGCATTTCTTAATTCTTAAATCCCTATAGCATTTACATAACAGAATGGTACAATCATTTTTAAAACATGACATTATAAACACCAGTGGGGAAAAAACAACGCCACAAAATGGGCCTCCAGTTTTCCCAGTTGGAAAGCTCAGCATAGTAGGGGATGGGAGTAGAATGGGACAACTTGCCACTACCAACTCGCTGTGGCCAATTTAACACAGCCATCTTGCCATAGTCATCTTGCTGCGGTCAACTCACCAGAGAACTCGCTGCAGTCAAGTCGCTGTGGGACAATTCTATGCAGGATAACTCAACGCATAAATATTTTACACCACGGTTTCTTCGACATTATTTCCATTGACAAAAATGTAGAAGAAAGAATGGCAGATAACATTATTGTGTTGAATTATCCCACATCAATTGTCCAACGGCAAGTTGTCCCACTGTGAGTTGACCACAGTGAGTTCTCCTGTGGTGAGTTGGCCATGGCAAGATGGTCATGGAGAGATGGCCACAGCAAGTTGTCCTAGACAACTAAGGCCCCATAATTTGAACATTGTCCCCACAAGTCAACTTGCCACATCTCTAAACAGAAGTTCTAAATTAGTTTACAAGGCCTTTCAAAACTCTAATATGGTTCCTGATTACTGATATCTATGGCCACAGATATAAGAAAAGGGATCTGATCAAGCTGCAACTCAGCCTTCAGCTACCCCAAACAGAAGATATTATGTTATGTAAATAAAGACCGATATGAGAATTATCCAAAAAGTTTCAGGAACACAGGGACATGTACCAACCCAGGATTCGCCAGCATTTACTTCTATGCTGATAGCTATTGCCACTCAAATAATTATTTCAGACCTTTCCTTTTTAAATATTTTTAAAACATGTATAAAAATAATATCCACAAGAGCAAAAGCCCTCAAAAAAGTTTAAAGGTTGGCCCCTCAGAGTCACCATCAGTTTCACTAAGGCTACTTAGTTTGATTTATGTGCTTAGTTTGATTATGTCATGAAAGAATCCAAACGACCACTAGATGACAATAAAAATATTTTTTTCTGTATCTCTTTGTTGCCATCTAGTAATTGTCTGAATTTTGCAACTCAGTTCTGATAACTTTAGCTTAGCTCTTTCCTGCTCTTGCAGCATTAGGTGGCTCTCCTGCCTCAGGACTGCTACTGATTCTTCTGAACCAGATGCCTGAGAGCACCTGAATACCAATGTTATTATATTGTAAAGATCTTCACCTAACTTAATTAGGCACACCAAATAAAGGTTTAAGGTCTAGAATAGGGCAGTTTTCCATCCTGATTACTTTCAACATTTATCTATCTTGAAGGAGGGGACATTTGAAAGCCTTGCACTTTCCTTTTTAGCAGGCTGGAGTACTTCCTTAAAGAACCCAAGTAAATTGAAGGATCTGTCCTTTTATCAATCAGTTTTAAGAAAGAGCAGTTGGATGTTCATCTATCATTAGGTATCCAGAGTCAGCCAAAGTCCTGGGTTTAATAAGAAATCTGCAATACTAATAGATTCATGTAATGAATATTGCTTTTTAAAATGCCACTTGTTGGATATCAATTATTCAGAATTTTTCCATTTCAATAAGGCAGCAAGTGTGCTACAATGTCTGGGAAATCCTGCACTGCATTGCAGCGGCACAATTGAGGTGCAGGTGCAAAGAAGGGAAGTCTTCCTCTTGTTATAGATCAGTGGTTCTCAACCTTCCTAATGCCGCGACCCTTTAATACAGTTCCTCATGTTGTGGTGACCCCCAACCCCCCATCCAGCTGGCCAGGGAGGGGGGGCATCAAGGCAGTTCCACCAGCTCCACCCAGCCTGGTTGGAGAAGCGCCCAGGTGGGGAAAGGGAGAGAGAGAGCGAGAGAGAGAGCCAAGAGGGCGACAGCGCCGGCAGAGCTTAGTTCAGCCTCCTCCGCAGAAAGGGCCGCGAAGCAGCGCAGACTCCCTTAGGACAGGGGTAGGCAACCCAAAACACTCAAAGAGCAACTTGGACACGTTTCCCACCGAAAACAAAACACTGAGAGCCGCAAACCCTTTTGATATCTAAAATGAAGATAACACTGCATATATCCTTTTTTACCTTTAATGTATGTATGTATGTATCTATGTTTGTGTGTGTATATATAAAATAAAGGTAAACAAGGATATATGCAGTGTTATCTTCATTTTAGATGCAAAACGGTCTCTCACTGTCTCTCTCTTTCCTCTTTCCTTTCTCTTTCCTCTCTCCCCTCCCTCTTTTCTCTCTCTCTCTTTCCTCTCCCTCTCTCTCTTTCCTCTTTTTTCTCTTTCCTCTCCCTCTTTCTCTCTTTCCCCTTTTTCTCTTTCCTCTCCCCCTTTCTCTTTCTCTTTCCTCTTTCTCTCTCCTCTCTTTCTTTCTCTTTCCTCTCTCTCTTTCTCTCTCTCTTTCTGTTTCCTCCCTCTTTCTCTTTCTCTCTCTTTCCTCTCTCTTTCTCTTTCTCTCTTTCCTCTCGCTTTTCCTCTGTTTCTCTCTCTTTCCCCTCTCTCTTTCTCTCTCTTACGGCTGCATCGTCGGGGGTCCCTGCTGCCCCCGGCCCGGCCACCACCCCTGCTGGGACTCTTGCCAGCCCGGCTGCTCCCCCCAGGCATCCCTCTTGCCCCGGCACTTGCCCGAGCCGCCTGGGGGGCACCAGGAGGAAGAAGGAGAGGAAGAGGGTGAGGAAACAGCTGCCACCACCCCAGCCAGGACTCCGCACTGCCTGGCCTCATCCTCTGTCCATCCGATGGAGCTGCAGTGGGGGCTGGTGCCGTGCAGCCCCTGCCAGCCCCTCTGCCAGCCCGG